TATATATCATTTGTTAAAGTTTAATATTGTAAATAACCTTTATCAGTCAGTTTCATTTTATCAATATTTAAAAAAACTATTATTCTCCAGATTTTTTTAAATTAAACACGATTTTCTTCGTTTCCCACTAGACATGATTTTTTCATCCGAGTTTCCTACTAAACATGATTTTTTCATCCGAGTTTCCTTCTGAACATGATTTTTTTTGCATTAGAGTTTCTTACATATGCTAAAAGTTTGAACCTACATTTGGTAAAAACTGTTGTCAAATACAAATCTTAATCTCAACAAGAACGGTTTTAAAAGGTCCAAATAAATAGTTAGTTGTCTCAGAATCGCTTACTTTTGAGAGATTCTTTTGTTTTCTGGGTTGGAATAAAATGTTTCTTTTTTTTTTTTCATTGGTATTTTACATCTTTGGTATTTTCTACCCAACATGTGGGTCAGACCAGAGACCATTAGGATCTTTTATTTTCAACCACTGACCAGTGGAGGAGTAACGAATCAGCAACCGATTCCTGACTGTCCATTCTACAGTTGAAAGTGCAGAGTTCAACGACATCATAGCTCTCACCTTTTGACTTTTGGATTTGATTTGTGCTTTGTATACGTGACCTTGAGTGACCCTTAGTGCGCTACACGAGTGTCGATTAAATCCCACTTTTCGGACAGACAAGAGAAGTACGAGTGTTGGCGTGTGGTGCTGTTGATTAATTGCCTCTATTAGCGACGACTGTGACAATTGGTAACGATCTAAAACGTCAAACCAGTCGTTACTCGAAAGTTTTATTATTTATTACTTTTTGACTGCGACGACTACAAAGTAAACCCATATACAGGGGTCTATTTGATTAGTAATGAACCCACACCAAATACGGAAACTATTATATGTCAATATGGGTATTTGATTTGGAACGAAACAGTTAGAAATATACGTGTTTATATGAAATTATTTTTTGTGTGTGTGAAAATCGTGATCACACGCCTTTCTCCAGTATTTAAGACTGAGGCGAAATAACAAAAATAACGAGATTTCATTTGTATTTTTTACTGAACATTTATTGTTTAATTTTTGACAATACTACTGTTATTACACGAAAACTGATATGAAACAGCTGCCTCTCTTTAAACAAGTGGATAGTCAAATAACAATCACTAAAAAACCATTCAAAACCAATTAACAATATACACTCTCGTGACTATTACTACCTTCTGATCAAACGCTAACTACTAGGCTCCCTCTGGCGGGAAATGATCTAAAAAAAAATTTATCCATTCGGAATATAAAGGAAAAAAATTCTAACGGGGCGAAATCTGGTCGGGGTAGGATTGCACGAGCCATAAAGCGGAGATTTAGCC